ACGTACGTACGTACGTACGTACGTACGTAAGTACGTAGTACGTTACGTTACGTACGTACGTACGTACGTACTACACTACTACACTCTCTCTCTCTCTCTCTCTCTCTCTCTCTCTCTCTCTTCTCTCTCTCTCTCTCTCTCTCTCTCTCTCTCTCTCTCTCTCTCTCTCATGGCTCATAAAATCATGGAGTTGTAGTCAACTGTGAAAGTCTTGCTAACCCTTACAGCCCTAGGCAGCCTCCAAGAACATATGAAGCCCATGGATGAAAGGACTTGGCACGTGTGATTGGTATTGGGGTAGCAACAATCACAGCTGCTAACTTTTGCAATGAGTCTTTTGTTGCATGGAAGAATAATGGGTCTTTAAATCTCCTAGGAACACTCAGATTCAGTGTGAACATATATAACCTTAACGTGGGTGAGTGCATATAGGATAGGAAAGGTTAGCATATGACTCGGACTTTATAAAGTAGAGCCACACCTCAAAACCACTGCAGAAAGTGCAGTTCTAGTGCTGGAAAACCCTCAAATTGATCATCTTAACCTTAACAATTATGGATTTAATAAAAAAAGGGATTTGAAGCCCTAAAATATTACATCTTGTAATAAATCATCTGGACTGTCCATTTTCATGTGTTCACAGAATTGCCAAATCTTTTCCCTTTTTGGAGCATTAAATTTTATAATCAAGGGCGGAATTAGATTATTGAACCATCATAAGGGTTTCTGGCATAGTAACTGCATTTTCCGGGAGGGTTTTAAGGTCCAGATTTTCTTTTTATCATAAATCCTAAGCCTCATGCTCACCGCACCCATATGTGAGTGTGTGTGTGTCCCCTTATTTCTATGCAGGATTTCATTGTTGGATAAGGTCCCAATCCTAAAGATGACATGTGTACAGTTATTTTGTGTAGATAAAGGTATCCATTTCAACCCATTAGTCAAAGAGAAAGTGCAATATATATTGATGGTGTACAGTATCTGGGTGAATGTCCCGCTGGACCCTGCCATGGTCAATCTCCACCTTCTGTCATTAGGGATGGATGGGGGATCCCCCTTTGGTGAACTTTGTACACAAATAACCATTGCAGTTCCGAACATTTGTCCTACATAGAAAGGTTAAACTGGTGGACAAGTTTGATCTTTTGCCCTTTTCTTTTTTGAATTGAATGGATGGCCTACATCTCATGCACTAGTTGTACATGGAAATTACGTGTCCATCTTACCTGTGATCCTCTTTATGTCATGCAAATATTTAAGGGATTTGCTGTACATAAAGCCAAAATAACGGCAAGGTTCCAATCTGACCTAAGTGAAAGAAATGTCAGGTCTCATGCACACACGTGTGTGTGCGGGCACACACACAATTCAATTCATAGAGTACATGCACCTACCCATCTCCACCACCCAACACAAGGGGTGGGAAGCACATAAATTTACATTGAGGGTCAGCATTGAGTCAATACCTCTTTGTCTTAGTTATGGACGACTTAACTAGACACTTACAAGATGAGGTACCATGGTGCATGTTGTTCGCAGAAGACATAGTTTCGATCGATGAGACTCAAAATGGCGTCAACACAAAGTTAGAACTTTGGAGGGATACTCTAGAATCTAAAGGTTTTAAAATTAGTAGGACAAAAATAAAGTATATGGAATGCAAGTTTAGTAATAACAGGAGTAGAGATGAGAAAGTAGTCAAGATTGATGATCAAGAAATACAAAAAAGAAATGGGTCGATAAAAGGGTCGTAACCTGGCGTTGGACCCGCCTAAGCAGGGTCTCGGGAGGGGTGGTTTGGAAACAATCCTAACCTTTGGCTTGTGCACAATGTGGCCGCTCTCAAGACTCAAACCTGCACTCGCGCGCTGGCTACCCGAGCCTTTTACCTCCACACCAAGTGATATCATGCGTCAATAATCTAGGAAAACAGAGAGATTGAAGAAGATGTCGCACACAGAATTAGAGTTGGGTGGGCAAAGTGGAGATGTGCAACTGGAGTTTTATGTGTCGTGGCATTCCAAGGAAGCTAAAAGGCAAGTTCTATAAGACAACTATGAGACGAGCTTTACTTTATGGGACAAAACGTTGGGCAGACAAGAAACAACATACCCATAGAATGAGTGTAATTGAGATGGATGAGTGAATAGACAAGAAAGGATAGAATTCGAAATGAATACATTCGAGAGAATTTAGGTGTGGCACCAATAGGCGATAAGATGAGAGAAAGTAGACTTAAGTGGGCTGACCATGTGTGGCACATAACCCAATACAACACCTGTTAGGAGGTGCAAGTTAGTTCAAGTAGAAGGCTCAAAATGAGTAAGGGGTAGGCCCAAAAAGACATGGTTGGAAGCAGTGAGAAAAGACATGGGGACTTATGGCTAGAATAGATAGAGCAGACTTCACAACGTAAAATAAGCCCTTTCAACTAAGATGGTTAGTGTATAAGGGACATCATAAACAAAACCATACTTCTGGAGGGGCAATATTTATTACTCCATACATGCATATATATAAACAAATATAAATATATGAATGCATACAACACTTGCATAAAAAGTAAGCAACCACATCAACATCAACACGACACTCATTTAATGCATTGATCTATGCCTTTTGGTTTTGACAAGTGAAAACATAACAATATCATTTTTTCATATTTTTTTCTTTTCATTTGACAAGTGAAATCACATTAAGGTTAGTCTCCCAAAAATATCAAACAGTACAAACAATAGTTTCTTCATCTCGCGCCATTTATGGTGAATTAAAAGTCAGAACTGAAGCAAGTTATCCAAATATGCAAGCAGTGAGGCTGACCCCTAAGCCCTGAAAAACATTCCAATGGATAAATGTCTGGGTCATCCATTACACAAGACACTGATTTGCACATGTATACTTCCTGAGTCATCTACCACAATAGAAAGTTGCATGCTTTGTTCAGCAAGTGAGCACAACTCTCAAGTCTAGGCATGCAATAAACGTTTCTAACAGCAAAGAGCAAAGCACTATGATTAAAAGGGCCGTAACTTGGTGTTGGTCCCACCTGGGAGGGTGAGCTGAAAACGGTTCTAATCTTTGGCTTTTTTTTGTACAAAGTGGCCGCTCTCAGGAGTTGAACCAGCGTTCTTGAGTTGGCTACCCGAGCCTTTTACCGTCATACCAAGTGACGGCCCCTAAGCAAAGCACTATGAGTAAAACTATCAAATACAAGTCAAAACTAATGTTAAGTTGTTGAGGAATACAACTTAGCCCTAGAGGTTCCTAGGTGACCCAAGGCCTCTAGCCCTAACACTGAGGAGAAAAAGGGAGATAATTCTCCCTTTTACTTACCTTACCTTACCCGACAGAAAAAAAGGGAGACAATTCCCTTTTACTTACTTTACCCGACAGAAAAAAGAGAGTTAATTCTCCATTTTTTGTCCCGGTACCCATTTGTCCTTTGTACCCATACCTATCCTATATACAATAGGGGACTTGATATGTAAGCTCCTTTCATGATTCGGATTCATTCTCCATCGGTGGATCACTTTTTGATGACTTGTAATTTCTATCTAGTTCTATATCTATTTCTATTTTATTTCTAGCTATCTATATGGATAGATGGATATACCTCTATATTTTTTATAGGACCGTCACCTCAAATCTTGACGATTGAACATGGATGGGCAAATATTACTATGATAAAGAAAGCTACAAACTGTTAAACCTTCATAATACATGTAACTCTTTTTCCCCAAAAATAGAAAATAACAAAAAAAACAAAATGCGATAGTATATGGTCATGTGCACTCAGTTATGCTTTACAATTATGGAATTTTCCTGGGAGCTTTTCTTGATTTCAGAAGCTTCAAAGCATGCCCAGCATCAAATACATCTAACTAGCAAACATATGCTCCAGTCGTCCTAGAAGAATAGTCAAGGCCAGACTTGTGATAGCTAATTAGCTCATCCAAACAAGAAAAATCCTTCTATATGGATATACATGCATTTAAAAGATACGAAAAGGAAAGAAAACTGCAAGCAAGAAAAAGTGCATCAAGAGAATCAAGGCCTCTTACAAATCAACAAAAATAATCAAAGTTTCAGTTGATAATTAGGAAAGCAAACAAAAAAGGGGGGCTTTCACAGAAAATCATTATAACTATAACTTGATTCGAGTTAACAATGGTTTAGGCTTGCCTGACTCATACTTGCCCAATAAAAAGAAGGAAAATGATGAGCAAAAAAAATTCAAGTTTAATTGAAAAAGGGTACCCCAAACAGCAATAGCCCGGTCCTTCACATAGCTCTTTAGTATGTCCAGTTCAACATAAGAAGCACAAAGAGCAGTCCAAACCAATCGACATTGATACAAAAGAAATCAAGTATACCCATATTTCATAAGAAGATACCTGCATGCCAAAAACAAACAAACATATGTGTATGAACATATGTTATGCATGTCTCTGTTTATGTATCAACAAACCAACCAACATTTTTTTTCTGTGTAATTTGAAATCTTTTATTATTGAGCACAGTAAAAATACATTGCTTAGGATGTTTTCTGCCCTCCAATCTTATAATTAAAACAAATATGACGAGAACCCAAGCAAGGCTTCATTTTTTACACAACTCTCTCATCATTGCCTCCCAAATTAGATGCATGGGAAATGGTGTCAAAAAATAGTTCTGCCGCTATCAAGGATGATTACTGGTCCAGTATTTCGATGCACTTGGGTTTAACAGAAGATTAAGCACAATCTCTTTGAGATGTTCTCCAATTCAAGAATTTCTGTCATAAATAATCATATGGAACAACCGCATCTAAATAGAGAGCTTCTAACTTAAAAGATCCTCTATCAAACAAGGGCAAACTCATGGAGCAAAGCCATTCATTCATACTTTACCTGTTTCAATCTGGAGTAGTGATGGTCTAATGCAAGTAATCTCCAACTTTGAATCACCACCCGAAATGGTCTTTAATTGCTTGCAGTATTTCCTTTGAATGACTACATCTTTCCCCACCATGCAGACTGATGAGCACATAATTATGGCTCGTCCATATTAAGGATTACTTGCTTCTAGGACAACTTCTTCCTCTCTTACTTGCTTTCTAAGATCATCGGCTATATGAGCATTGCCTACTTTCTCATGTGCCTTAATCAAGGCGCTCAACGCTTCATTACTTGGGGCCAGCCCATCATCCATCATATTCTGCAGTAGCCTAGTGGCTTCATCCAAATTACCAATTTCACAGGAGGAATGGATCAAAGTACCATAAGTAGCATTATCTGCCTTTGTCCCTTGCCTCCTCATCTCATCAAGCAATTTCAAAGCTTCCCCAAGATCGCCCTTTTCGCAGAGCGCACCTATAAGTTCATTATACATAGCAAGACTTATTGACACTCCATTGTGTAGAGCTCCATTTCTCAGCTTGAAGGCCCCAATCAAATTTCCTTCTTTGCAAAGAGAATGGATGAGCACACGATAAGTAACTTCATCAGGCTTGATGGCCCTTGCTACCATCTCCTCAAATAACCTCAAAGCCTCTCCCATATCCCCTCCCTGACAATGCCCATTAATAAGTGATGTATAAGTGATTGCATTTGGAAATACCTCTCTCTCTTGCATCTCCCCAAACAAGCGATGGGCCTGCTCCATATTGCCCGCCTTGCAATGGCCATCTATCATTATGGTATAGGTCGCAGCAGTTGGTGTTAGACCCTTTGCAAAGATTATTCTAAACATGTCTTTGGCCCTCTCAATGTCACAAGACTTCCAAAGCCCATTAAGGATAGCATTATAGGTAAATATGTTCGGCTCTATCTTCTTTTCAAGCATCTCTTCAAGGTATAAAAGAGCCTCAGCGATCTCACCCATCTTGCAAAACCCTGAGATCAAAGCCGTATAAGTGTAAACATTAGGAGTCAGACCCTTACTGTGCATCTCAGATAGAACCCCAAAAGCCTCCTCCATCTTTCCAGCCTTTGCGAGGCCATTAACAAGCACAGAGTAAGCCCTCACATCTGGGATCACACCTCGGCCCAACATAGCACGATAAGTAGAAAATGCTTCCTCTGTGTTTCCAGCTTCACAGTATCCATTAATAATGGTGGTGTATATAACATCATTTGGAAGTAAACCTTGATCGAGCATCTCATTGAAGAATACAAGGGCATCACCCATCTGCCCAGCCTTGCAATGACCATGGATGAAAGACCCATATGTAAAAGCAGTAGGCTCTAACCCTTCACCAATCATTTTTTGGTAGTATGACTTTGCCTTGTCAATCTTCCCTGCCCTGCAAAGGCCACTAATAAGGGTATTATAGCAAAAGACATCCGGAGGCACGCCTGTCCCTTCCATACCATCTAAAATCTCACAACCCAATTCGACATTCCCTTCCTTGCAGTGAGCTTTAATAAGAGTAGCACAAATAACAGCATTTGGCTTCACATTTTCCTTTGACATTTCCTCCAATACACCATTACATCTCTGTAAATCCCCCGATCTACACAACCCATTTATCAAAATGCTGTAAGTTACCACAGATGGTTTCACTCTTCTTTGCTTCATCTTGGCAAGAAGATCGAAAGCTCCGGCCAAATTCTGATTCTTACAATGGCCTTCAATAACTGAAGTATAAGCCATGGAATCTGGGGTATAACCCATCCTCACCATCTCATCCAAGAGCTTATCAGCTTCTTTCACCATACCCTTTTTGCATACCCCACGAATAAGCATGTTATATTGTATAGCACTGGGCTGAATACCCGAGGCCACCATCTTATCTTTTACACTGAAAACCTCTTCAATTTCTTCTACTCTCACCAAACCTTCAATCAAACTACTGTAAATGTAACAGTCAGGCTTTAGTCCATTCTCAAGCATTTCAGTGATAACCCGTTTTGCCTCTTCAGTCCTTTTCTCCTTGCATAGACCATGTACAAGAGCACCATAAGTGAACCCATCAGCAATCAATCCTTTTTGGGCCATTTTCTTCTTCAATTCAAAAGCTTCAGATAGAGAACCAGCTTTGCAAAGACCCAGTATAAGGGTGTTATAAGTTATGGCATTTGGGGCACATCCCTTCGTCTCCATCTCAGATAAAATCTCTTTTGCCTTCTCTATCTCTCGACTGTTGAGGTGAGCACGAAGTAAGGTGCTATAAGTATACACATCAGGTGAAAATTCACCCGGAAACAGGCCATTATAGACCTTCCAAAACAAACTCATCTTATCCTTTTTAAGCAAAGCATTCAAAATTGAGTTGGTGCGACGCAAATTAGGTCTAAAACCCATGTTTTTCTTCGAAAATAAAGCATTTGAAGCTTCTTCAAGCATACCCATCTTCACATATGCACCAATAAGCACATAAAAAACCACCGGATTCGAATCACTCCCGCATTGATGAAATCCATTAGTGACTGATTTCACAATCTCCCCTTTACCCAATTTCTCAAGCGAAGAATAAGCCCTAATCATGCGCTCTAACACACCACAAGCAAGGACAAACAGCTGAGAGTTACAGAGAGTTACAGAGAGTTACAGCCAAAAATGAGAATGAATCTAGAGTTCGTGAAGCACGCATTTGTTTCTCTGACCAATTAAAGAAATTAAGCAGGCGTTTGGGATCACTTACCTGGTTTTGCAACAAAGTTTTATGTATCAGATTAGGCTTGAGCTTGTGACGAAGGTCAGAACTATCAATGAAAAACTCCCAATTCTGTCTTCCAACAATTGCAGAGCTTTTCGAGAATGTCATGGTCTTCTTGGGTTGCTTCTATTGAGGAATGGGTGCAAAAAGGCCTGGTTTCTAGGAATATACAGGGCATTAAAAGGCATTTTTGGCGTATGAAATGAGTTTTCTTGAGGAGCTTCTTCATTGCCTCGTTCGGCAGTTCTGTTTTTTCAGAAGAATAACGATATAGGGTCCCTCGTTAATCTTACCACGAGGGAACGGCTTCTTGGCAATGATCACCCACTCAAATTTTTAGAGAGAGAGGGAGAGATTATCACGGAGAGAGAAAGAGAGAGGGAGTTTATGAAAGAGAGAAAGAGAGAGAGAGAGAGAGAGGAGACAGAGCGAAGGGTTAATGGCTGCTAGCCTGCTACGGTGGGTGCTCGTTCACTATGATTTATATATGGACAATACGCTCGCCGGGGAGCACGAAATCTTTTGGCTGAGAAAGTGAGAATACGCGCACCAACTCCTCCGAATAAGAGCAAGAGGGTAATATTCTCAGAACATGAACTGCACGACTTTTACTTTTGGACCATGGCATTATTTTAAAAACGGGTGCGGTTTGTATAAGGGTGGAGTTTGTGTAGAGCCGAGGCTCTAAACAATCAAAATAGAACCCACCTTCGAATAGTGAGGAGAAATATAATTTCAATATTAGAAAGTTTTATGATACCTTTAAATTATATTTTTATCTTTAGTTATAAAATTTAAAGCTTAAAAAATAGTGTAGATCAAGGAGATCTATGAAAACTTGAATATCTTGAAAATTGACGGTTTAAAAATGTGTTACAAGATGCATTATTCTAGAACTTGATATTCATTCGTCTTAACGTCGAAATGATAAATTTGATGATATTTAGGCATCAAAACAATATCTTCCCTTTGTATAAAGCCCTCTAAACAATCAAAGTAAAATGCACCTTCAAATAGTGTCGAGAGGTATGGTCTCAATACTGAAAATCTTTGTGGTAACTTTAAAATATATTTTCTGCTCTAATTATAAAATTTAAAGCTTAAAAAAAAAGTGTAGATCGAGCATATCTATAGAGAACTTGATGGCCCAAAAATAGGTCACAAGGTGCACTATTTCCAACTTAAAATCTATTTTTTTCTCATGTCCTACACTAGATGATCGATTTAAAGATATTTGGGCATCAAAAAAATATTTGAGGTGCGTTCTAATTTGATTGTTTAGACCCTCAGCTCTATATAATTTTTTTAGAAAATATCTCCATATCCCATAGTTTTAGGTTTCATTTTACAATAGGCCCAATGTTTTAAAATATATCTTGGTACATAAAAATTATAGATTTTATTTTTTCTAACTCCCTAAGCTAATTTACACTTATATTTTTAAGACTAACAAATCTAAAAAGATGTATCGCTTTCTAAAGAGTAATGATCATATATGAGCCTCCCCAATCCATGTAAGTAGCGCCTTAAATGATCACCATTAAAGTTGGTACAAATCTCTAAAAACGTTATGACATGAGTGTAAGATTTAACTTTTTTATATATTCGTGCCAAATTTAATGGTGATCCTTTGGAGTACTATACACATAGGTAGGGGAGTATCCTATAAGATCATTTATCTTTTTTAAAAGTCATCTTTCCAAACTTCTAAAGGGAAAGAAGGGTTTCATAGAAGTGAGAGGTTATGGGGAGGAGAGAGAGGTGTTTGGAAAAATATGGAAAGAGAGAGATAGTGAGAGAGGTAAGAAGAGAAGTTCAGGGTATATAAGTGAAGAGATAGAAAATACGTGGTTTAGAAAGAGCACGTCTAAGTTACCTTTGTTTAGGTTAAAAAATAAATTTAAAAGTGGCCAGGGGGTTAGAAGATATCTTTTGAAACATTAAATTTATCAAGAAATAAAACCTAAAAATAAGGGATATTAATATATTTTTTCTAAATTTTTTCCTTTGAAAACTTGGGACATATTTTCATACCTTTCGTTTTAAAAAAAAAAAAAAAAATTTGAATTCGGATGAGATTTTGATAGTATGTGCACCTCATTGGGGCACTTTAGTCTTTTTAATTTTGATAGTGATTTATGCGTGGGTGCTAAAATAATGGAAAAAATATAAACAGCTCTTTTTTATAAAACTATTACGCACAATGTCGGTTAACTCATAATTTATTTTATTTTCTATTTTGCATCTCGCTCCGATGTTAGCGATATGGGACCAGTTTGATTTTTTTTGAAACGTAGGGTTGTGACCTAAGATTTAGGTCGCTTTTAGACCAGTCCAAAGTCACGCAAGCACTATGAGGGAGTGGTCTAAAGTCCATAACATCGGACAACTAGTTTTGTGGCACATAAGAGAGCGATCCAAGGTTCATATAGACCATAAGTTTTATATAATTACGACTATTGTAATTAATATATGAAAACTAATTATAAACTAATGTGATTGACAATAACATTAAAATTTCAAATAAAAATACTAATTGTACACTATGTTAAATTCAATTTTTTTCATTATATTATGAATTATAAAAAAGCTGGCACCAAATAGTTAAGATAAGACTCTAATGATGATATTATGAACTATAAAAATTTATCAAAATTCAATAAAAATAATATTTAATTAATATATGAGAAATTAATTGGAAATGAGCTGAAAAATAAAATTTACAAGCAGTTTTTAATTTAGGGAAAAAAATTATATAAAAGTTTATTTTGATGTTGGAAAACCCTCTAATTGATCATCTTGCCATCGAGATGTATGAATATGAAAAGAAAAAAGGATTTCTTTAAAACAATATATCTTGAAATCCCTTATCTGGACTAACCATTTTCAATATTTTCGAGTGTTTATATATCTACTTGATTTAAACTATTTTTGAAATAATCAGAGATAAAGATAGTTTGTCAAGTCATTCTAAAAAATTTTTATACTAAAGGGCCAGTTTGGATGTACCCAAAATTGAAATATTTTTTTATTGCAATCCAAAAATATTGTAAAAGCGACTTTGACCGTTTGGACAACTGCATGCTTTTGTAAGAATTTTTTATTGCATGAAAAAAAATCTCATCTCAAAGCAAAAATGGCCATCCAAAAATATTCAAGTTAGACTTGAATTTTTTTGGCTTGAGTAGTGTTTCTCGCGTCTTTCTCTCTCTAACCCTCACACTCTTCCCTCGCCTCCCTGTTTTCCCTCGTCTCCTTCTGCTCTCTCTCATGCACGAGAAGAAAACTCAAAGCTCTGCTCTCTCTCTCTTTCAAAAGCTTTGCAAACATAAAGTTGTGCTCTCTCTTGTTCAAAACCCAGAGCTCTGCTGCGTAGAAACTCTCTGTTTTTCTCGCGTTCAAAACCCAGAGCTCTATTGCGAAGAAACTCTTTGCTACTGTCAAAAACACCTCTCTCTCACAAGATCAAGCCCCCTCTCCCACTTAAAGCTCACAAGGCATCAAAGGCAGTTGTAGAACAAAAGCAGGCACGCCATTTTTCTGGTTTTCTCAATGTCTTTCTCTCTAAGGAAGCTTAGGGCTTTTTCTTTAGGGAATCTGTATTCCTCAATCTCTCTCTGTTTCTCTAGGGAAGCTCTTCTGTTTTGTTTCCCTCCAATTATATGGAGAGAGAGCTCTGGTTTTTGGCCTCCATCTTTCTAATATTGAGAAAGAATGCGTCCGTGGACGGCTACTACTAACCATGCAAGGAAAAGGGCGACAATTCAATAAGGCAGAAATGGAAGCCATGGCCATGACCTTCACCCAATTAGACAATTCAGCCCTAATCCCTAATCTTGCCCTCAAAACTGCCATTTCCAACTGGTGTAATGAATGGGGCTCGAAGAAGCCTAGTACCCCTGATCCCAAAATAGGAGGTGGTGTAATATATTCATAAATATTGAGATTTCCCTATGTTTGGAGGCCAAAAAAATATACACCATTATCTATTACAGAGTTGCAGACTGAGTGGTTTTATACACAAACCGTAGAAAAACAGTTCAAAGTGAAAAAGGGCTCCAAATTCCCTTCAAAAAACAACCAAGGGTAGAGGCATTAACCCCCCAAAAAAACCATCAAAAAACACACAACACAGACACAAAATGAAAGATGAAAGACAACAGCAGCTCATACACAGATAGCTTCATAGGGAATTAGAAACCAGTGGCCCCCATTTAGAGAGAGAAAGAGAGAGTCACCACCAATAATGTCTGAGGGAGGTTTGGGCTGTTAGAATGTTTGGGAGCATAGAATGGAGAGAGAAGAAAAGAGAACACAATATTTACGTGGTTCAGGTTGAAACCTTACATCCACGGGTACAAAGCTTAACTGGCTACATTTTCATTATTTTAGATAAATGTTTACATCAATAAGTACCTCTATATATAGAAGAGAATCACACAATTACATGAGATAAATATGGTATGACAACTTGATGACCAAGTAACTTGATGTATATCAATATGAATTTGCGATATCCATATCCCAACAGTCCCCCTCAAACTCGAGATATCTATATCCCAACACTCCCCCTCAAAATATCGAGATATCCATATCCTAACACTCGCCCTCAAACTCAATATGCTTTGACACAAAGCAGCTGGAATTTGAATAATACTAAGTTGCTAAAACAAAAGAGTAGTGATCAAATCCATGATAAATTTCACAGGTTACCATGATCTTTCAAGAACAACTATTATTGGGTTCTTTACTTTCTTCTCTGAAGATCTTCTCTCTTCAGAGACTTCTCTGAAGATCTTCTCTGACCTTTCAGAGGTTTCTCTAAATATCTTATCTCTTCAGAAGCTTATCTGAAGATCTTATCTCTTCAAAGGCTTCTCTAAAGATCTTCTCTCTTTAGAAGCTTCTTTTATTTTTAGAGGCTTTCTCTCTGTAAAAGAAAATGATATTTCATTATCTCTTATTCGGAAGATCCGTTGATCGAGTAACGAAAAACTCAACGATCTTCACACAGGATGGAGTAACGGAATATTCCATCATCCAACATGATTGAGTAACAGAAAACTCAATCATTAAACATAGGCATTCGTAACAAGCTGGATTGAGTAAACTCGATCATCACATAAGATGGAGTAACGAAAAACTCCATCATCAAACGGGATGAAGTAACGGAAAACTTGATCAACAATTAGGATTGAGAAATTCGATCATCTTCATCTCCTCATCTGAAGACGAAACTCTTGATCATCAACCATAACTTCCCTTTGCATAGTATTTGGACTAATCCAGAATTTGGATTTTTTTGTCCACACAGCAGGTACATTAGAAATGTTGACTTCATGTTAGGTGTGGATGTGAAGAAACACCCAACTTGCTAAATTTTTTTTTTTTTTTTCTTTTGACTACAATCATAAAAAAAATGCCAATAAAATTGGGCTTCTAGACAATAGCCCACATCTTAAAAAAATACCACCCATTTTTTTTGTTTTCTTATCTACTTCTTCAATTTTTTTTTTTTTTTGAAATGACATAAACTCAACTTCATAATTGTCAACAAACACATCCATCATAGATTCCTCATGATCAATGCTCTTGCTAAATCTGAGCTCTGCCTCAAGCTTCGCCCATAAGCTGGACATATTGGGCGCATACCGATTTTTCACCGTTTTGATAAGCTCATTTGCTTCATCCACTTTACCATTCTAATATATGAGATATCATTATCGTGCCATTCATGGATAGCTATGATGTCGTGGTTTTAAAGACTATTGGCATCTGTGAATATCGGGGAGGATCTCTCATGCCAACTATCAAGAATACCCAAATACCCAAAATTCCTGCAACCTACAAGAGCCAGAAAGAGACAATAATGGCTGTGGAGGAAGTGAAAAACTCGCTCTGCTTAGCCAACAAGGAAGAGGTGGAGAAGGTTTTCAAACATTTTCAATAGCAACGAAGACGGCCAGATCTCGGGGGCTGAGCTCGGTGCGATGCTCCGAGCCCTTGGATCGAACTCCTCTGATGAAGAGGTGGCTCGAGTGATGGCTGAGGCCGACACCGACGATGATGGCTTCATCTCGTTAGAGGAGTTTGCAGTGATCAACAATGAAGCGCCCTTGGATAGCAATGCGAGCATGGTGGATTTGAGAGACGCCTTTGTGATGTACGATCTCAACAATAACGGTTCGATTTTGGCCAAGGAGCTTCACATGGTGTTGAATAAGCTTGTTGAGAAGTGTTCGTATTAGGATTGTTGCCAGTTGAACTCGACCGTCGATTTGGACGGTGATGGAAGCATCAGCTTTGAGGAGTTCAAGAAGATGATGTGGCCAAAACCCCAACCTCCTAGAACCGGTCTCTCTCTAGATTAATCCTATTCTCTCGTATGGAAAACAAATTTGGCAATGCTCAAAGAAATCAATCACTATGCCTCGTATACACGCAGGGTAGGGTATTGCAACAACCAGTCTTCAATAAATCAATCGTTATGACTTGTATACATGCAGGGTATTGTTTATTTCTCTAGCTCTTCTTCCTCGTATTCATAAAGTTGAGCCAATTTCTTTATTGGAGATGGACAATTGGCTCTATGCAAAGAAGACATGGGCAGCACCATCAAGAAGCTTTGATATCATGTTAGAATTTGTGGGAACATAGAATGGAAAGAGAAGAAGAGACAAAAAAATCCAAATTTTGGATCAGTTCAACTACTATGCAAAGAAAAGTTATGGTTGATGATCAAGAATTTCCTTTCCAGATGAAGAAATAAAGATGATCGAATTTCTCAATCTTAATTGACAATCAAGTAACTTGATGTATATCAATATGAACTCGAGATATCATATCCCAACACTCCCCCTCAAACTCGAGATATCCATATCCTAACAGGGACAAAGAAAACCATGAAAAAAGCTCTCTGAAAACTTCTATTTTTGGCCCTCGCCCTTTATCTCTAATCAAAACCCAAATCGATTACCAGATGCCTGCAAACAGGGCAACCCCCTCTCTGTCGGTACTAGCCTAGTACACAAGCCGATTAATGGGTTTTTTTTTGACAAATCAATGAAATAAAACATCTAAATAATTTACCAACATAATAAAATAACACGATAATGTTTTTCAATTAAAGTGGAAAAACTTGTATTTTTTTTCACTATGAATATTTTTTTATTTGACATCCAAACTAATCCAAAATTACATTTATAATAAAATTTAAAAACGGCTTTAATTTGATTGTTTAAGATTGGAGCCTTATACAAATTACGCCCTTACTTCAACGTACCAAAATTTCCTCTTTAAAAGTAGCCACAAGGGAGCACCAACAATGAAACCGAACCGACCATGGAATAGTACACAACCGGACCGGCGTCCAAACCAGTTCATTGTCTTGGCGCGCCGGATTTAAAAGACGTTATCCTCCAAGGCTGAATGCAAGAAGAGGCGGAGCCTGGTTGTGGAGCACCAAGCTACGTTTGCTACTCCATAGCGTGCACCGTGCGGTCGTTTTCTCCTGAAATCATTAGCTAAAATAACAGAGCTCCATTTTCTCTTCTTCCCAATCTTTGTACCTCACTTCTAGAGAGATGCGTCTTCTCTATTCTCCTTCTTTTCACGACGTTTCCAAAGGAGTCTGGCTAAAAAACGAGCCATGTAAGCTAAAATGCAGAAACCCCACTTCTTCTATGTTGGCCATTAATTGCTTGCCCCATTCTCACAGGGTTTGCTTTGGTTCTTTCTCTCTCTACGCATTTCGTTCGAGGGGACGTGTTGCTTGTGGGGTCAGAGCTCAAGAGATGCAGAAAGAGGAGGAAGAGGAAATAGAACGAGGGTCGAAGAAGCAGAAGGCATATCCTTTTGATGAAATTGAGCCTCGATGGCAGGGTTATTGGGAGGAGAATCGTACATTTAGAACACCAGATGATGATCTCGATACCTCTAAGCCTAAGTTTTATATACTGGACATGTTCCCTTATCCCAGGTAGTCAAGAGATTTTGGGGTGAATTGAGGGTTTCATGGTTGGATTAGATAAATTTCTTGCTTGAAATTTGAGTTCTGGGTTTGCTTCTAATGTTGTTGCTTAGGTTTCTAATGGTTATTGCTTTGGTTTATAGTACATACAAATGGCTATGTTGAATTCCTGTGAAGACCCCCTTGGGCTTTTAGAGATTGAATTTGTTTCCCTGTTCCACTAATCACTGTATATAATTCACTATTGACCTCCAGCCTCCCTCTCGTCTGATTTCACAACCGATTTCAGGCATTTTGTTTGTTTTAGTTTTTGTTATTTTATTTATTTTATTTATTTTTAACTTACTTGAATGTTTCTGGTCTGTGTATTTATTTGCTTATTTATTCTGATTGTTGTGCATTTTCGAGTCTAAGGCATCTCGGTTTGAATCTCCTCTTGCATTCTTTTGAGTGATCATGTTTGATAGATAGTTTTTGTTTTTTTGAGAAATGTTAACCTTTGTATAAAAAGTAGAATATATATATTGCTAGCAAAGGAATGGAATGGGTATATTCTATTTTGACGCCTGCAATGTGGGATGCCATCCGTAGAATATATACATTGCAGGCCTCAAAGTGAGACCTAGGTTTGTTGTCACAAAGGAATGGGTCTGGATTCACCCAATCCAATTCTAGTTGTGGGATCCTGCTGTTCAGAAAGTACTATTGCTTACTCTCTTTCTTACTGCGACATTGAAAGAGTGATTTACAGGGAAGGGGCATTTGATGAGACAAGAACCATGCAAGTCTTTCCTTCCTACAAAGACAAGAAATGTTATTTTAATCTACATGGAATATTCCCCTTCTGAGCCACTTGTTCTTCCCATATTAAGTCCTCCCATTCTACACAATATTTCTTGTAATTTTATAATGTTGCCTACTTGCAAATAATATTGCAAATACAATGAAGATTTGATCTGTTGGATCGGTTAACTAAAAGAAAGCCGTTCATAAGGTCAACCCTACGTTATTTTGAGCTTGAGATTGTATGGACTCGAGTGGAGCTGAGATTGGGTTTGGTCTTGATTGTTCAATGCGGAAATGAATTTTCTTACACTTTATAACTTAGGTCCAATATTATATATACCTAATTGTTTTAGGTGAGACTTCTATTTAACTTAACTTAATCTTGGTATTATGGATATCTCTCGTGAAAGGATTCCTTGGGGATTTGGGTTGAGTTTGTGCAAATCCAAATTCCATCTTGTTAAGAACTAAAGCATTAAATAGTATTCTCCTTGTTTCTAACTTATTAAATGTTCATGAGAAACTAGATAGTTTTCTTGCATCCCTTGTGCGAAAGTTGCGACCTCAACGGTTCCTCTTCATTTAGATAATAAGCTCATTGAGTGTACTATTTTGACTATTTTTTGTTTTTCTTTGGAGCTTCTCATATGCTTGTCTCATCATCATCATCACCCGGGCCTTATCCAACTATTTGGGGTTGGATATATGAATCATGTTCTGCCATTTCGCTTTATCAGGGGCCATATCTTTAATCAGAGCATAAATCACCATATCGCTTCTCACCACTTCCATCCATGTCTTTTTGGGCTTTCCCCTTGCCCTTTTTAGAGCCTTCCACTTGAACCAAATCGCCCCTCCATATTTTTGCTATTCTAGGTCGATGCTACACATGGCTAACCCACCTGAGTCTCCTTTCGCTCATCTTATAGCCTATTGAAGTCACCCGAAGTTCCCTGGGATGTGTTCGTTCGGAATTCTATCTTTTCTTGTCTCGCTACTCATCCATCACGACTTTCTCATCTCAACTACACTCATTCTATGGATCTATTGTTTCTTTATTTCCAACATTCCGTTTCATCAAGCGTGGTTGGTCTTACAACCGACCTATAAAACTTTCCCTGCAGTTTTCAATAGTATGCATCGATCACATAGGACTCTGGAAGCATATCTCCACTTCGTCCACCCAGTTCTAATTCTATGTACGGCATCTTCCTCAATCTCTTCATTCTCGTGGATTATCAACCCCGTATATCAAAAATAATATCTTTTAAGTACTTCTTAGCCATCATCTTAACTATTAGCTCATTTATATTGTTTTTATATTTTTATTACTAAACTTACATTCCATATATTCTGTCTTAGTTTGTTTAATTTTAAAGTATTTAGATTCCAAAGCATCCCTCCAAAATTCTAACTTTGTGTTGATGCCATCTCTAGTCTCATCAATCAAAATTCTGTTATTCTTGAATAAACAGACACCATAGTACCTCATTTTGTAGATGCTTAATTAACTCATTCATAACCAAAACAAAGAGATATGGTCTCGACACTAACCCCTGATGTAGGCCTACTCTCTCTGAAAACTCGCTTCTCTCAACTTGTTGTCTTCACACTAGTTTACGCTCCCTTGTACATATCGTACGCCATGTTGATATATCCTTTAGAGACTCCTTTCTTTTCCAACACCCACCAAATTTACTTCCTAGGCAATTATATGTTTTCTCTAAATCAATAAAGACCTTGTGGAGGTCTTTGTTGTTCAATTTCCTATGCAGGAAAATAGCCTCAATTATTGACCTTTCTGGTATAAAACAAATTGATTTTCTGATGCACTGATTGAATGTCTTAGTTGTTACTCAATCACTCTCTCCTACAACTTCATAATGTGGCTCAGAAGTTTGATCCCTCAATAGTGTGTAAATTCTTTGTTCTTGTAAAAAAGTACTACAATACTTTTCCGCTATTCATCTGTTATTTTCTTTGTTCTTACCATCTCGTTGAATAATGTGTTCAACTAGAACATACCGATCTCTCCCATGTACTTCCAAACCTCTATTGGTATACCTATTGGTATACCATATGGTCTTAACGCCTATCTGATCTTCATCTTTCTCAAAGCTTCTTTCACTTCATATATCATAATCCTATGACTATATTTATGACCTTTGACCTCATCTATGTCAAAGGTTCCTCTTAGCGCTGTGTTCCCATAGTGTTTGTCATTTAGCAATTTTTGAAAATAAATTCCTCTCCTTTATTTGACCTTGTCATCCTTCACGAAGGTCCTTTGATCTTCACTCTTAATATATTTAACATCATCTAGATCCCTACACTTTCTCTCTCTCATGTTAGCCCGTTTAAAGACATCTTTTTTCATCTTTTCTCGTCGCCAACTTATTGTATAGATCATCATATGCCTTTACTTTAGACTTCCTTAGTACTTTCTTAGAGTTTCCCTTAGTATTTCTATATTCTTCTAAGTATTTCTTATTTCTATTCTATTATCAAGCTTTATAACATGATCCTTTTTTTCTAATAGCTTTTTGAACCTTATCATTCCATCACCAATGTCCTTAGCTGTCTTTTCACTTTAGATTCTCCTAAAATTTCTTTTGCCACTTTCATAATATTATTAGCCATCTCATTCCATATAACATTAACTTTGTCCTCCATTTTCCTTGTTTTATTAATTTATTCTTAAGTAAGTCTATTTTCGCACTTAACTCCGCCATGGCCTTTCCCAACCTGGTCATGCTGGTCCCAAGCCCGGATAAAGGAGGAGGGTTGTGTTAGGTAAGGTGGCTAGTGTAAAACTTTGCCACATTTTTTAATGAATCCTGAACCTATGTTATATGCTCATTTTGGGGCGTTTCCTATCTGACTGAGGGTATGACCCTTGATAGCACAGAATGACAGAACTTGATTTGTGTAGCAGACTCCAAATAGTTGGATAAGGCTCGGATGATGATGATGATGATGATGAAATCTATTTTGGGAACATGCTTGTCTACCCGTGAAATAATTGCTTTGATATTATGTAGAATATTATCATATTTAAATTTGCAAATCTAGTTTATGTAATTGATTAGTTATGTCCACCAACATTATAGTGGTGCTGGACTACATGTTGGGCATCCCCTTGGCTACACTGCTACAGATATTCTTTCAAGATACAAACGCATGCAAGGTTTCAACGTTTTGCATCCGATGGGATGGGATGCATTTGGTTTGCCTGCTGAGCAATATGCTATTGAAGTATGACTTTCTTTTCTTTTTGTTTTGGTCATTTTGAACCTGTCTCATAGACCAGCACGTAACTTGTCATCCAATTAAATTTCAGACTGGGACACACCCAAAAGTCACAACACTGCAAAATATTACACGCTTCCGTTGTCAGGTGCTCTGCTTCTTTATAATCTTATGCAGTTGTTGGCATTTTTTGGCAATTTCCAATGTTATGTGCATGATTATTTCTTGTTTTGTTAGCCTAAGAAGCAAGGACATTAAGGTCCAAAGTAATGGTTTTAATGCTTCCACTATTATTTATTGCAATTGAAGTTTGGGGTCCAGAATTTCCGACCTGATACGGTATATCCTCCCCCCCCCAACACATGCATACACACATACACACCCACACATATATGTAACCCAGACCCGACCAAATCCACTAGGTCAGTTCAGGTCCGGGTCTAGGTTTGGTCTTGGACCACCCACTCATCTGGTCGGGTCACTTACCCATTTATTATTGTGTTGATTATATCTATACTGTTCATAATTTCAAAATATTAGGGGTCAGTTTTGTTGTCAAATAAAAAAACCTTCACATTGAAAAAAATTGTAAGTTTTTTTATCCTTAGTTCATAAATATAATCATCTTTTTTTATTAGTCTGCTTGACTGTTTGGATGGCGTGTGAAAATGCTAAAAAGCAGATTTTGCATTCTACCCTTCCAAAATTGTCTTGCCAATCCAAAAGATTTTCCTATATCCCTCCCATTAGTAAAAAATCAGCTTTTGTACAACTTTCTCTCTGTAAATGCTAAACACCTCAAAATATCCTGCAAAAACTCCCACCCGAAAACCCAAAAAATCAACAGACCCATGAAACCCAAAGAAACCTGCTTGAAAGTACAGACCATTACCCCTAAAACCTCCTTTGAAATAAATCGTGGTTTTAAGTTCAGCCCTTTCTATTGGAGCAACACCATTAGGTTCAGCCCTTTCTTTTAGAGAGATGACACTAAGGGGTCAAATTTACAAGGAGAAAGAAAGCCCTGATTTGCAAAGATATTTATGGATAAAAGAAAGTCCAAAACTTGAAAGAGGGCTTTTGTTATTTTTCAGAATTTGGGGTTTGTGTTATCGATGGCACAATCGGACCAAGAGAGCTCCATTAGCGGCACCACTCTAATTGGTCAATCTCTTGCAATCTAGAAGAAGCCATTGCAATCGATTCTGTTGACTGTGAAGCCTCAGAATCTTCGTTATTCAAGGTGCACCGCAGATTTGGATTCTGCAACACATGATGCGTGGTGCCACTAAACCATTAGCAACACTAGAGGAGCTTCTTAGATAGAGAGAGAGAGATTTGGGTAACAGGGTTCTACAGAGAGAGTTTGGGTTTTTTGGGTTTGCAATTAGAAAGAGAGAGTGAGAGAGTTGGGTTGTTGGGTCATGAGTAAATAGAGAGAGCTGGGTGGGGGGTTTGTACGGGTGAGAGATTTTGACTTGAATTTTTTTTTACGGTAACTTTTGTCTTGACACGGCAGTATTTTTTATTTCAATATAAAAATCTTGTTGTTGTCCAAACGGTTCAAAGTCTGTTTCACAATATTTTTGGATTGCAATCTAAAAATATTCCAATTTTGGGTACATTCAAACTGGCACTAAATGTTTCTGCTCGTCCTGCTAATATCTTTAGCCTTTATACTGTCCAATGTTTAAACTTTCCTTGCAATCTTGTGTGTTGAAAGATTTGCAGACCTATTAATTGAAATCATGAAGTTAATTTCTCAAATTTCATTCGGTTGCTCATTTTCTGAAGTTTCTTATTGGTTTTGATGAGTGTCATGTGCCCCTGCATATATTTTTTATTTCGTTTTTTTGATGTTTGATGTTTTCATTTCCAGCTTAAGTCGTTAGGTTTCTCATATGATTGGGACCGTGAATTCTCTACCACTGAACCTGAATATTACAAGTGGACTCAATGGATTTTCCTTCAATTACTAAAAAGAGGGTTTGCTTATCAGGTTCTTTGTCAATCACAATCTTTATGCTAGTAGTCTCTTTAAAGTTAATTGGTGTTAGTTCCATAATGGGAACTAGTTGTTTCCTGCTAACTGCCTATTACAATTTTTTTTTCTGCTCAGTAACTTTCTCTGAGCTGCATTTTTAGGTTGATTTCTCTGAACTGATAACTGAGATTTTGATCTTTGCATTAATAGGCAGAAGTACCAGTAAATTGGTGCCCAGCCCTTGGCACTGTTTTAGCCAACGAGGAGGTCGTAAATGGTGTTAGTGAGCGTGGAGGATATCCTGTATTCAGAAAGGTTGCTGGTTTTGTTATTTTTGGATGTCGTGAGATATCCCCATATTTTTGTTGAATTCTGTAAATGATTTGGTATATCTGTTCTCAATGTTCATAAAATACTGATTTGAATCAGATAGTTGTCTTACTCCAATAAATTTTTGCCTTGCTAAACAGCCAATGCTTCAGTGGATGCTTAAAATCACTGCATATGCTGATCGTCTTTTGAAGGATTTAGATGATCTCGACTGGCCTGAAAGCCTTAAGGAAATGCAACGTAATTGGATTGGTCGGTCAGAGGGTGCCGAGATAGAGTTTAGTATACTCAGTTCCGGAGGGCATGAAGGAGATGTGAAACTTACTGTTTATACAACAAGAACTGATACCATTTTTGGGGCAACGTACAGTGATTCATTTCTCTTGGTTATTCATACTTTCTGGAGTATTTCAAAGAAAGAAAATCCTATATCAGGCGATTATTTTCTGATAGTATGAGTTCGTTCATTTGAATTTTTTATTTCTGTTTATTTTCCTTTGATCTTTCTCCTCTTAATACTTTCAGATACATTGTTGTTGCACCTGAGCACCCTTTGTTGTCCTCAATGATCTCCGAAGATCAAAGGAAGCCAGTACGTGCATTGGCTTTTATATACATCTGACATATCCTTTTTTCATTTGCTTGTATGTCATATGATTCTCTGGAACTCTTATTTCTACTATCGCTTGTTGAGCTAGAATGGAGTCTAATTTTTAAGCACAGGTCGAAGAGTATACAGAGCTTGCATCAAGGAAAAGTGAACTTGAGAGGAGTGAGCTTCAAAAAGAAAAAACTGGGGTATTTAGTGGTTCTTATTCTAGAAATCCAGCCACTGGCGAAGCGATCCCCATATGGGTAGCAGATTATGTACTGGGGAGGTGCGTCTGAAGTATGTCTTTATACGTCTTTTCTCAGTATTTTGATTACTTGCGACCTTTATCAATTTTATTTTAATATTATTGATTTTTTTTTGTTTTGTTTTGAATTTCAGTAGTTTTATGAAATGAAAATGCTGAAAAATATGTCTCACATGAATAGATATGAGCCCCAGCAAATTTGCGTATCACTTCAGGGAAAAGAAAGAGCTGCTTCTACTTGTTTATGGTAATTCAGTATATGGACAAAAAATAATGTATGTTGAGCAGAGGGCTATGTAATTTAAGCCATGATTTTCAGCTATACTGACAAGAAATGTGCAAGAAGAGAATGTGGGACAAGATACATTTTTTATAATCATCATCATCAGAGCCTTTATCCAACTATTTGGGGTCGGCTACACGGATCCTGGTATGTTATTATGCTCTATCAAGGGCCATACCCTCAGTGAGGCCATAAATCCCCATATATTTTCTCACTACTTTCAACCATTTCTTTATGGGCCTTCTCTTTACCTTTTCTGAGCCTTCCACTTGAACCAACTCGGGCCTCTAAACAGGTTCTATACTGCTTCTCATGGCCAGCCCACCTAAGTCTACTTTATCTCATCTTATCGCATATTGAGGCCACACCTAAGTTCTCCCCAGTGGTCTAAGAATGGTGATGGCCTTAAACATTCCTTTAACCCGCAGTAAAGGAGGTGGATTGTGTTAGGTAAGTAGTCAATATAAATGCCAAAACTTTCCATAAATCCTGAATCTATATTTTTTATAATAAATTACTCAAGGTGCTGGGAGATGTTGCACTGTTGATAAAATCAGACCAGACCCTGATTTAGCAAACAATGTTGTCTGGATTGGACTGCCTGGCTCATTGGTTTGGTCTGGATCCCGTCATATTTCCATAATTATCTTATTCTTTTTGACATGAAACTGGTGTCTATATATGGATATTATTTGGCATAATGTTATAGTTATACTTGTACATTTTGGTGGTAATTTAGAATCATTATATGTACTTATACTGGGGTCAAAATATCCTTTACGTGATAATGATAAAAACACCCCTGATTGCATTAATAATTATTTTTATATATGAGGCACTTTGTATATTTATATTAATCTCTCAGGATGGGTAAGTGAGGGATGTCATGGGATTCACTCAATTTGAGTTGACCTGAATGCCCTTTCTCGAGGGCTCAGCTTCTAAACTATTTGTGCAGTTTGATATTAGATTGTTGAAACTGGACATAATATAATTTCAATTATGACAAAAATCCCTATGAGGCTAGCTGCAGGACTAAGAAAGGAGTTTGTCATTCAGCAACTGTGGTCAAAGATATCAGCATGTCTTTCTTGTTTCAGTTGCTCCCTACTTTGGCTCAAAATGCACTCTTCGTCAATGACTAATGTCAAGATCAGATGTAGCTTAATAATAATATTTCTTTCTTCACATTGTCGCTCATAGACCTCTATGGTGAATTGAAAGACGAATTTGATAAATTTATATCCTTGTCTTACATATTTTAGAGTGTTATTCTTGTTGCTGATCATATTAATGTGTTTTATAAAAAACTCAGCAATTCTGCTGGCATTCACAGGGAGGTTTCTGAAAGAAGAAAGATGGTTTTCTATGATTGCAATCTTGTATGCAAGCCTTATCATCACGATAATATCTCATGAGTTTGTTTTTGGCAGCTATGGCACTGGAGCAATAATGGCTGTGCCTGCACATGATTCTCGAGACTATGATTTTGCAGTAAAATATGATATTCCAATACGCTGGGTTGTAAACCCTGTTGATGGACAATTTTTTCCTGAAAAGCTTTACATAGGTGACGGCACCATGATAAACTCTTCTAGTTTGATGACAGGCCTTGATATTAATGGCTTGCCTGTCAAGGAAGCTGCTGCTAAAGTCATTGATTGGCTTGAGATCACTGGGCATGGGAAAAAGAAGGTGCTTGGCTTTGTAATGTTGTTGAACTTCAAGTTCGAAAAGTAAATACTTGTAGGTAGTTTACAGTTTGCAATATTTATCATGTGTTGGCTTAAGAGAAAACTAATTGGTCTTTGAGCAGGTAAACTATAAGTTGAGGGACTGGCTATTTGCTCGCCAACGATATTGGGGAGAACCGTTTCCAGTTATATTTATTGATGATTCTGCTGAAATTGTCCCGCTTCCAGAAAGTGAGCTGCCCGTTACTCTTCCTGAACTTGATGATTTTACTCCAACTGGTACAGGGGAACCCCCTTTAGCCAAAGCAGTTTCTTGGGTAAATTTTCTTATTAGTACCTCACACCGAGTTTATGGTTTCCATCATTTTGTTGTCCCTATTAGCTGGTTTCTATTGATTTCATTTTTTTACTGGGATTATCCTTTCCATGGCTAAAGCATTCGAAATCTATTCTTTAACGTTATTCATAACTATTCTTTTCACGTTAAGATTATTTTGTATAAATAACGAGGTTGTGAGAAGAGGATTTGAACCCAAGTCCTCTTATAAAGAGTATTTTAAAAGCGGGCACCCTACCCAATGCAACACTAGATATTTTGATATTTTCGCTGTGTTAATGTTTATGGAATTATGCTTTTTTTCCTTTTTTTCTTCTCTGGAAGTTTGTTCTTGGAAATCAAGACTTGTCCTCTTGATGTCAAGCATATTTGTGACAAAATTTATGTTTATACAGAAAAGACTAACTTTATTGCTTATATAGATTATTTTGGCTAAATAACTGGTTTATGTTAATTATTGTATAAAATGATTCACAAAATGTGATTATCTGCTACAAAAATGAGTCTGAGTACATACGACTTTGATGTACAAAATATGAGCAATGTACCTACAACTCTGAGCTATATATTGAAATATTGTAAACTAGCTCCTATTTGGTTTCTCCTTCTCTCTTATGGCTGTCTAGATTTTAGAATATAAAATAGTTGTAAAAGTCAATTATTTGCTCACTGTTATGTCTGATTCTGGGTGGAGATCAGTTTTTGCCTGAGCATGTATACATTATCAGTTCCTTGTCGGAAGAAATATATGCAATGAACCTAGTTTCTTGATAGAGCAATCAAGATAACTGTCTAGATATTTCCGATCAATAAACATTTCGTGGCTTATGCCTATGCATGAAGATTTCTGCCTGACTTGGCGAGAACAAAAAAAAGATGGTTTTGTTGGCTATGTGGCCTTTCAGGGCCTTAAAGCCAAGACTCTTACACTCAGTGGGAGTTAGAGAGAGGCATGATCTGGGTGCTTGGCGTACTGGGGCCCAGATTCATATATCCTGAGTATTTGAGACATTGAGAGTATGCGTTTTGAGAGTGTGAACTCTGGAGGAGGTGTGAGGGTCACCTCCCTGTCAGGACTATATTGATTAGAATGCCTCATAGTTAATGAGATAAACCAGGGCATGGGGAATCCAATCGAGAATAAGAGAACCCTAGTATTTAAAAGAGTATTCACCTTATATGGAATGGTTGACTCATGGGAAATGAGCCTGAATCCTGACACAAGACCATTCTATGATATGTGCATCCACAGTCGTATGGGGAAGCCACTCTTCTATAGTATTATCTGACTTAGAAGAGCTAATGTACATGTGCTTTGAGAGGACCCCTGTATTTGAGTAAGAACATGTTCCATAGGGGTGCACCAGTAATCCATTCAACCTTCAGTGACGGGAAGCTCTGGCTCAACGACTTTGATGTGACCAATTATGTGTCCCTACCATAGACTGTGGAGCATAGGTCCATTGGATCGACTTGAGATATTGGTAGAACGTCATTCGGGTTAGCATAATGGAAGACTTAGACACTGTTATAAGTTTAGAGATCTCATTTACCTTTGGCCCAAACTAATCTAAAATTGATGAGAAAATGTGTAATAATGTTAAAAAATCATTTGGAGAATTTTTCAAAAATTTTAAAACCAAAAATTGTTTTATTGAAATTGTTTGGTCAAAATGATGATCGAGGACGAGCCTTGGTGATGCCATGTGGGTCCCAAGTTGCCATAGGGATGCCATGTGGCACCCCACACCCCCTTGGGCACTGACATGAATGCTGACATCATGGTGGGGGGCATTGTTGTCTTTTGTTATTTAGTTATATTATGTTTATTTAAAACATTATGTTTTATAATGTTGTGACTTAAGTGAGTTATTTTTTCACATGGTGTTTTGTTCACACATGTGGTTTATTTGACATGTGTGAAGTTCTAGGATTTTGAAAGTTAATTTGATTTAATATTATTATCCACATAATTTTGTAGCATGTGGGTATATCTTATGTGGCACCACCTTATGGGCTTGACCCATGTGAAACTTTAGTGTTGTTGAAATCCTATTAGGGGTGTCATAAGATATTTTATTCATATGTATGGATATACCATATTACCTTTATGTCCATGTCCTTGTCTTTTATTGACTCTCACAAATTATTCAAAAATCATGGGCGTAAGTGTAAACATGAATTTGGACTTAATGGGAAATAATACATATAACTAAGGGCTTTAAGGTAAAATGACTATAAACCTAAGTTTTAAGGAGTGAAGACTGTCAAAAGCTCATCCATTGATCTTGGTGATAAGAAATGGATGAGTGGCTTGGATAAAAGCCTCTCATGTGCCATTGATCTAAGGCATCCCGCCTAGCACTTTTTGAAACACTGTTTCATAGAGAGAGCGAGCCCCCTTGACAAAAAGGTGGCTACCCATGAGACTATCTTCTTCCTTGAGCTTTCATTTGAAACCCTTCCATGGAGTTTTCCCTCATTTGTGTAATCCAAGCCCTTACTATTATTTCACTAAGGTATTGATTTTTCTTCTTATATTTTAGTTCCTACCTTATTTCCATTATCAAAGCTTGCTTTAATTCTTAATTTACAGTAGCTTTCTTCATTTTTGATCATGAAAACTTGATATTTGAAGAGTCTCAAAGCAATAGTGTAGTCCATACACATGGTATGTGTAGACTAGCTTGCTTACTCCATGATCTTGAGTAGTTTCAACTTGATATTCTTGATCGTATTTTTCTAAAATTTTTACTGAGAATATACAACAGATGAGATGTTTATTTCATCATATTTGAGCATATGAAATAGTCAATTGAGTTCCTTTTTGAATGTTGAAAAGTTCGTGTGGTCCCTTATAGACCACATGGTGTAGTTTCACCATGACTTCTTTATTTTGTGTAGTATCTCTCTCAAACTTTGAAGGGCTATTTTGATACATGTCTCTATCATGATTTAATCCCCATTAAGTGAAATTAAAATGATCATTTGCTTCCCATTGGATTGATCTCCTTGAGTTATTACTATCATCCGTGCGTAAAACAATGGGACAAAATTAAGTTCTCAAAAGGCCCTTTCGTGGCTCGGGCACAAGAGGTTCGAACCATGGCTTTCCCTATGTATGTTTGCATGTTAATTTGATGTATTTGCAGTTATTAAGTGATTCATGATTCGTTAAATTGAGATGTTATGTGAATATTGACATTGTTCTTTAATCTTGTGGGATGAGCTTTAATGCTATGCTTTATTACTTATGTGAATTGAAATCTCATTGGATTATTTTGATCAAATATGTGATGTGTATGAGACTTTGTAATATATGATGATGATGAAGAATGAAGATGGAATTATCATATAATTTTGATACAATGAGGAATTGCGAGTACAAGTCATGTAATATGTTGTAAAGATGTACATTGTGAGTATTTTGATATTATATTGAGTTTAATTGTATTTTTGAGTAAGGAATTTGTAAGGGACCTATTAGGGTTGATTTTTTATTATTCAAATGTGTATAAATCTTGTTTGTCGGCTGGAATATATGTATTATGGTTTTGTATTGATATATTCATGCATTTAAACCCTTGAGTTTTAATACAATGAATTTGTTTTAAAAGATTGCATTTCTTGCCCATTGGTCTTGTACCACCAACAATGCCAAACAACACTGGAAACTTTATAAATACATTGCTAGCATCCATGTTTGGAAGAAATAGTAGATGGAATTTGTTGGAAATGTATGTCAGGCTTATCTACTGGATAGCACTTGTTTGAGTTGGCCATAGGTCAACCGCCCTATGTAGTGCATGATGTGTCATTTTAGCCGGGCCAGGCATGCTCCCAGGCTGCAAAGCAACTTGCTGATTTGGGCCATATTTCTTCTCTTTTTTTACAGTGTTTCTTTTTTCTTTTCACAGTCAAGTTTTTACAATGAATTATCAATGTGAGGGATTGACTTGATTCTATGTCTGACAAATGCAGTTTGTTTACTTGATTCATCTATGTCATATTCAGAATGTTTTTTATTCATTTGAGTAAAGACTTATTATTCAGAAAAAATTATCATAGTTGGATCTTATTTTTTTTATTAATGGATATTTTGGATTTTTGGATGTTTCATTCTCTCAATAGAAATAAATTTCTATAATTTAGAATACTTCTTATGAGATTCATGTGCTTGACCTGCTTTGCTTACTTTTGTTAAACCAATGACTGACGAAGTCCTGATTTTCAAGCAAGGGATAAGATATTACTGTACGGATTGTATATATCATCAGACTTCATATATTTTCATATATACTCAGCTAGAAAATTAGGTTGAGAGGTACAATTACATGAATGTTGCTTTTGTTTCTCTTGGTCTATAAAGTTTGCTAGGGTCATGGGCCATCTATGGTGGTCTTTTTGCTTTTTCTTATGTATACACTGTTTAATTATTACTTGAATATCTACTCCATGCAGCTTTTTATTTTCTACCGTTCTTTACTATGTAGCATTCACTAAACTGTTCATATAATTTGATTTTCAATTAAGGTTCTGGTCGCACAGTCAAATTCTTGTATGGATCCCTTCATGAAAGGGTATTCCCTTGCACAAATCTAGTCTTTAGGACATTGGCAAATTTTTTCATCTGGTGCTTCACTTTGAATAGAAAGTGAGATTTGTTAGCTTAACAATTCTTTGGGTTTCCAACCTGGATGTCAATCGTCAATCATTGCGTATTTGTTTGTTTCATGATTCACTGTTCAGTAAACAAATTTTCATGCTTTAACTAAATTTTTTCCTTATTTTCGTGCTTTACTATTCCGTAAACAAATTTTAATGCTTTATTGTTTGGTAAAGAATTTTTCATGCTTTAAATAATTGTTTCCCTTATTTTGTGTTTAATTGGACGTTCAAAATACTTTAGTGTCAGTTTAATATACTGTGTTTGTTGGAAAAAAAATTAAATTTGTAATTTTACTTTCAGAAAATGTTTTGACTTGAACTTATAAAAAGATTGATTTATCTTGATGTACATTTTTCATGCTTCCAGGTCAAAACTGTTGACCCTCTATCAGGGAAACCTGCAACTCGTGAAACAAGTACAATGCCACAATGGGCTGGTTCCTGTTGGTAATAAAATTTGAATGAACTTATTTCATGATTATTCTAATTGTTCTTTCGTTTCCCTTTTGTATTCTTTCTTCTTGTATACTTAGTAAATGAGCTTTCTTCTGTAAATTTGCAATTTTTTAAAACATATCATTATTTACAATTTCTAATTTAATATTATTGCCTTAGCATCGAGTGAATTCTACCAGTCTAGTTACTTATTTCAAGAGTTGGCCATGGTAAGAATAGTGATAGGCTTTGAAATGCTCGACTATGAGTTCTATTATTGCCACTGTCATATATACTTAACTATAGGCAGTTATAGAGTGTACAGTAAGTTTCATAACAATAGAGTGAATACAGCAACTATAACCTTCTAGATACATTACAGAGCTGAACAATAGAGGAATGTCATGCATACTTATTGTATTTCTCATGCTACAGTTGGAAGAAAAACGAGTGGTGATGCCAGCGTCAAACATTGTTCTTTGCCAAAAACCTTGTTGGCACTGCAAATGGATTATTTTGTTTATTAGCTTCCAGTTGGTTGCTGATGTTGTTTACTTTGTTTTACATTCCCTGTGATTTTGAGAAATGATATATTATTCAGGAGTGGATGCAAGAGAATTCCAATTAAATAAATCAATCTTGCGAGATGGTTCATGGAATATAGACCAGTCCACCTTGTTCTTTTTGGTGGAATTGCAATTAAGTAGGAAATGAGTTAGTAACCAACCTACCCTTATACATAGGAAATAATTTTCTTCTTAATGAATGTTGAAATGAAACATTGTTGAATAGCCCTCCTGTAATAGTCAAATATACTGCAATAAAAAAGGAGAGAAATATAGTTACCTTTACTGTAACAACTTCTATGCTTTTGTATCTGCAGGTATTATCTGAGATTTATGGACCCAAAGAATTCCAAGGCTTTGGTTGATAAGTCCAAAGAAATGTGAGCATCACTTTTGATTTAGATATTTCCTTTTGGCTGTCACTTTTAACTTGTCCTTTGTTTTTTTTTTATTTTCTTGTTGACAAGGTTACACATAGGAATGGAACTTGAGACGCGGGGCTATGAAAATCTAGCCTCTACTGTCTCGACACAAGCCCATTTCCTTTTAACTTGTCCTTTGTTTTTAATCTTGTAAACTTATGATCTTTTATTTGAACAACTTGTAAAAATCACAGTTGATGCTCAAATATTGTTCATTTTTTTCAGAAATCTTTTACATATTTGGGGGTAAAACTATTTGTGGTATTTTCTTTGCATAGGTATTGGGGCCCTGTCGATATATATGTCGGTGGTGCAGAACATTCAGTTCTTCATTTGCTATATGCAAGGTTTTGGCATAAGGTTTTGCTACTTGCACTTGTTTCTTTTAATTTTTTTCGAATTTTTTTCATTGTTGATATTTTTAGGAATATATACTTCTCGTGGTTGTCTGGATTCGTATGTCATGACTTACAGCCAGCATGGATGTGTGATTTAAAATTCTTCTCATCAAAGTTTTTTCATGTCATAAAATACTGTCAATTTACTCCTCGAGTAAAACCTGACCTAGAATTAATTTGAGGACTCCAAATTTTGGAGATGTAACCTCTTCAATAAATAAAATTTCCTAATTGTACCTTCTATGTGCTTGAAAAAAATAATGTCTCGAGATTGAATATTGGCGATCCAATTTTTAGATGATGAGATCTAATTTTTTGAAAATTCAAAATTCAAATTTTTTCTTTTGAGAATAATCATCTAGTGATTCTTAGGCGGTCTCCAAAATTTCAGATCGAAAAAATCCTTCTTCTAACAGTGGGAGTAGAAGTAAACTATGCTCCTGGGAACATAGTATGCGTGTTCATTTTATTCACTTAATGTGCTTGACTGATATTCCCAAAGAATGTTTTATTCAGTCACAACAGAGACACACATAGTGAGATATGGAAATCTTGGATTGGAGTGGGAGGAAGGGAGGGAGGGAGGGAGGGAACTATTTGGTTGCCCAGAGGAATATTAACAAGTAAATGAGGAATATTATTCCCAAAGAACTTTATATGTGATCTCTTCTATTGAACAACCACAGCAGATGCACACTCACAGGGAGAGATGGATGTCGTGGATTGGGAGGGGAGGGAGAGGGTAGGGAGGGAGGGAACTATTTGGTTGTCCAGATGAATGTTAACAAATAATTTTATTCACGTAATGTGCTTGCCTGATGTTCCCATAGAACTTTTAATGTGCTCTCTATTGAACAGCCACAACAGAGACCGACTAACACGGAGAGAGAGACGGACATCTTGGATTGGCGAGGAAGGGAGAGACCATAAAGTGGAGGTTTGGGATTGAATGAAGCTGCTAGAGAGTGAGAGTGGAAATTGGGTGAAGCTGTTAGAGAGAGGAAAGTAGGAACAGCTGAAATTAGAGGTTCCCATGGCAAAAGTTAGAAAACCCATTATTGGCAATTGTTTGAGTTTCCAAAAGAGCTTTCACATGAACTCTTTATATTTTTCTCTCACTATAGATGACAAACAAGAAACCCTCTTTGTACATATAGGTTCAATGGCTTCCCATGATCACCCAAATCATAGCACCATCCCAGGAGGGCCCCCTATTTCATTTTGCGGCCCAAGATCAAAGCTCAAAGACAATGCATAGAGTTCTTTCTTGTATCTCTAGAATGTGGCAGATTGAGCACCCCCTTCATCTCTCGTACACGAGCAAATCCATCTGCAAAAGGTTGAAGTTCAAATCATCCAAGGGGCAAACTCATTTGTGTATCCAGGTTCAACAGTTTCCCGTGTTGATTATCACTGAAATCACAGCACCGTGCTGATAGTTCTGAGGCCCTCCTATTTCATTTCACTGTCCAAGATCGAAGCCCGGCAGCAATGCGTAAAGCTCTTCCTCATCTCTGTAAAATGGGGTGGATTGGTTGCCCCCTCCATCTTTCTTAAATGAGCAAACCCACCTGCAAAGAAAAAGTATTCTTTTTTCTAAAAACAGAGCATGCTCAGTTTTTTCTTTCTCTCTCTAAACATGATAGTTTCCCCCCAAATAAAAAAAAAGTGGGTGCCTAGAGCAAACTCGTTTTATCTTTATCTCTCTAAATAAAGTGAGTGCCCAAAAAAATGCCTTTCTCTCTTAAAAAAACAATTGAACTTTGAAACCTTCCTCTCTCACTCCAAAAGAATAGAGCAGTTTGGTGCTTCTCTCTCTCTCTCTCTCTCTCTCTCTCTTGTTGTCAGGGGAAAACCCAAGGAAGGATGGCGAAGGCTGCCGAAAGTTGGAGCAGTCCTTTGGAGCTTGTTGGAGAGCAGGTGAACCTTGGGAGTGGCAAATTTGTCAGGTAAGAAAAGGAAGCTAAGGAAGGATGGAGAAGGCTGTTGAAAGTTGGAGCAGGCCTTCTTTGGAGCTTGTTGAGGGAGGGAGGGTAGGAGAGAAGGAGGCAGGGGGGTGGGGGGAAGGTGAGGGGGAAAAAGGTTGACCCAATGGCAAGAAGCAAAAATGCCTCTTTCATCCAAAATAATCGTGTTTGACTAGAAATTTTTGGATGTTGTTTTTTAAGCTACAGTGGTAGTAGTTATTTGGATTTCCATCCAAAAAAAATTTGTTTTCCAGATTGCTTTCAAGCATTTTGTGGGGTTTTTCAGCTGATCATCCTAAGAGACGCGGACTTTGGGTATATCCGAACTGGCCCTCAACTTCAATGCTGCAGTTTGCTAGCTAGGAAACTTTACATGTTCTTTTGGATAGGATTAGCAGCAAGCATTTAAACCAGAAGAGAAATGTTTCCCTTCATTGGAAATAGTGATATGTACCACAATGGGAAAGCTACTATTCCCTTTATGCATCACCGGGATGAGTTATTTTGACAGGTATATATAGTGCCTGCATGAAAGGCATCCTACAAAACAATAGTAATGGGCACTTCGTCCTGATGCTGAAACATCAATATTCAAATTTAACGCTTGGAAGCATGACGTGTATTTCGAAAAGACGTCTTGAATTGACATCAGACACCATGAGCTTCAGTCCTTACATGACCCTCATCTAGGAAGTTGAAATCAATGTCAATGTCAATGTCTTCTGCATTCTTGTGCGACAAAATGTACCTTGTAGATCCCCACCATTTGTGATACCAACATTTCAAGAGGAGCCTTGAAAAATGTTTTGTTTTCCTTGTAAAATTTATGTGAAGATATCAGCCAATTAGCCACTTTAATGTCATGTACTTGGCATTTTCTCTCTTGAAAAGACCTTTTCATATATGAAATGTTAATGATTTGTAACTATGTAGTTGCATGATACTCAGACTGGCCATCCACCTTATGTAGTCATCAATGGATGGTGGAGGTAAGCAGCTGTTACTTTTGATAAGCAAGGATGAACTTAAAGGGGGACGGCGGCTCTCTTGCAGTCTGTTGATGAGCATGGGCAGTGTATGTCCTGTCGGAGTGCTCTTCACTATACTCGCTGCGACTTTAGTGCTTATTTATGCAAATTATTTGTTCTATGAAGTTCGGTAGAGGAAATGGAAGCACAAATGAATTAGTCATCTACGCCTATTAGTGACATCTTTCCGTGTTATAATGGGGATGTGATTATTTTCCTTGTTGTCATGTTATAGGAGCCAAATTGTAGTGTTGCTGGCTTAGTTGATGCATCAAAGGGCCATATGTCTTTAGATTTTTTAATGCCTTCAGTTCCCTTTACTTTACCTTTGAGGTTTACAAAGCAACATTTCATTCCTTTCCAGGTCCTCTATGATATGGGTGCTGTTTCAACAAACGAGCCTTTCCAGTGTCTTATTAATCAGGGGATAATACTTGGAGAAGTAAGTATTGAGTTGTCTGTTTGTGCCCATTTTTGTTAAATCACCATTTATGTTTCTAATGGTTCAAGTGACAGGTTGAATATACTGCATATAGAGACCAGAAAGGAAGATTAATATCTGCTGACAATGTTAAGGATACGAATGAGTATCACCATGAAAGAATACCTGAGGAGAAAGTATGCTAAACTATCTGTGGAAATTATTTTTTTGCACATTACTAACCTATAAAACCATGAGTAGTTTTGTTTTTCACTACAACATCATAATATGAATGCCCTTGTTATCAAATTTTATTGTTTATAATATTCTCTTACTGTTCAAAGTAAAGGAACACTCAATTCTCTTGTGCAATAGGTGCTGAAATCCAGTGACTCTTATCTGCTTAAAGAGGACCCCAGCATCCGATTAAGTGCAAGGGCTTATAAGATGAGCAAAAGCAGGGGAAATGTAATCAATCCAGATGATATTGTTACTGGATATGGAGCAGACTCTCTTCGTCTATATGAAATGTTTATGGGACCTTTGAGGTATACTCCTACTGGAAAATCAGTTTCTTCGTGTAATTTATCTGCATTTTGTTATTTCATTCATAATTTCTTCTTATGTTATTGTAGGGATGTAAAAACATGGAATACCCGTAGTATTGAAGGTGTCTATAGATTCTTAGGCAGGACATGGAGGTTGATTGTGGGTGCTCCTTTGACCAATGGATCATACATAGATGGAACTGTTGCAGTTGATGAAGAACCTAGTCAAGAGCAACTTCAAGCTCTCCACAGATGCATTAACAAGGTTAACTATTTTCTTTGCAATTAACTCAGCTTCTTACAATGTTTATTTGGTTTGGTATAGAAGAAAATGTATGTATGGGGCCGCATATTTCATAGTAAAATGAAAATATTCGAAGTTAATCTTAGCCTTATGTGAGTGTTTGGGTGGCTTTTGAGTCACACAGACCTCAAACAAAATCCAAACCGTGTTTTCCACAGCCTGTATCTGACTATGCAAGCCCAAGCTTCGGTGAACTCAAAACTGCGAAACATTGTAGGGTGATTTAGGAATGACTCAGGAACCTCCTGCTCAAATTTCATACAATGTGGACACAGATGAAAGAGTTTAACTGAGGTTTTCCGCAATCTATTTAGTTGGCCTTAGCCGCCAGGAACTATCCAAGTGAGCCTTAATGATATCAGTTTTGGTTAAAATTTGGAGTGATCAAAGAATGATTGAAAAAACATGCTGTCCAAATTTCATATGGTTTCGGTAACTTTTGGTGAATTTTCCAGCATTAGCCGCAGTCACATTCTAGAAACTATGCCGGATGGTGGCGAACTTTGAAAGCCTGTTCCATTGATGTCAGATTGAGCTGAAAATTTGAGGATTGATTAGGGAAGGTCTATGTCCCATTAATAAAAGCTTTTGATCATATGTGTTTGAGGTTGTAATTTATTTTTCTGAGTGCATTCAAATTCACGTGTTTTATTAATTTTCCATTGGATTCCGTATTCCGATATGGTACACTTTGATACACACAGTGAGTGCATGCTTGTATGATTCTCTGGGGAACTATCTTGTAATTCAATAGATTCCAATGGTTTTATTATCTGAATTCGTGTTTGTCATCATGACTGAATATAATTACCTTGTCAATGCCTAATCTCTAAATCTATTTATTTATTTTGTGCTGAGGATTTGTTTTCATTTGTAGGTGACAGAGGAAATAGAGGGAACACGGTTCAATACAGGAATTTCTGCAATGATGGAGTTCATCAATGTTGCAAACAAGGTCTTTTGTTTCCTGTATTACCTCTCACATACCCTTAGGATATAGGTTTGCGGCTGATTTTGATTTTTCCGTTTAATCTATGTTTCTGGACCATAATCACTATTAGGAAATTATGATGGTAAATGATTTAAGTTGTTTCAACTTCAAATATCTTTTTTGCCTATTTGTGTATGTGTTTGTGTATCTGTGAGCCGTTACAATCATATGCATTGAGGTCGTTTCCATTTCCTAAACCATATAAATCATGTGATATTTAGTTTCTCATACTAGTTTATGTAACATTTTCTTGCTGTCATCTGATGTGTTCTGCTCCTTACCCTTAGTGGGAAAAGCGTCCTCAATCAGTTATGGAAGCCTTTGTTTTGTTGCTTTCACCATTTGCGCCTCACATGGCAGAGGAGCTATGGAATCGCCTTGGGCACACCTACTCTTTGGCTTATGAGAAATGGCCTGAGGTATGTACTTAATTATTATAATTTACTGTTTTCTAATGTGAATGTATGTATGCATTCATGCATAATGTATGGGAAAGTATATTATAATACACTGGATAGTGTAATTGCATGGTTTCATTGGTTCATGACTGTCCTTAAAATGGTGGATGGTGGTGGAGGGAGTGGAGTCGACTATCCGGGTCATGTCCTGTTCTGGTGGATTCCACTCTCTCAATTGTCATCAGACAGAGTGATGAACCAATGTGCTGTGATTTTACTTTTCCAATGGATTGTTTTGATGGGAATTCTTGTTGCTTGATCTAACTCCTCGGATGCAGACCAAGGAGAAGTACTTGAAAGATAGTCTGATTGTGCTTCCTGTTCAAATCAACGGAAAAACGAGGGGATCGATAAAGGTTGGAGAAGCGGCAACTGAAGATGAGGCATTTAGGTTAGCAACCAATGAGCAGAAGTTATCCAAATATTTGGTAGGGAAGACAATAAAGAGGAAAGTCTATGTTCCTTCCAGAATTTTGAATATCATATTGTAATTTGAATTTGTAGCTGGTTGATGTTTAATTGTTTCAATTTAATCTGGGTAAGCTTCCAACTCATGGAAGCCTATCTCACATGATCTTATAAGCTATTTATTGTATATTATTCCTCAACATTGGGGATCATTTGTATATCTGTTTGAGCTTCCTAGTTCCTAGTGGAAAGTTAGGGCACTATTGTTCAATGGTATGTTTGGCCTAGTTTAGTAGTTCCTATCAATACGGTTGAGAGCATGTTTAAGCATTTAAATTTTATCTTTTATCTTTTTACATATATAGGGTTGAGAGCATGTTTAAGCATTTAAATTTTATCTTTTTTCTTTTTACATATATAGGGTTGAGAGCATGTTTAAGCATTTAAATTTATCTTTTTCCTTTTTATATATATAGGGACGAGATGAAATTTTTGGTGTCCAGTTTTAAAAAATAAAGTAACCAAAATACCCTAAAAACTTTGAGGAAGTATTTGAGTTATTTTATTTTGCTCGAATTATTTTTTTATATTTTTCATAGATATGAAGTGCACAAACTGTTCAAATTTCATTTGGTTTTAGTTTTAGAAAAGTAAAAATAAAAAAGTATAGGAAACAAAGTAAAAAATTATACTGCAGTTTATCCACCACTCCAAACCTGAGTCTTCCAGAGGGCATGAAAGCTGTATATAATGACATTGGAAGTTCCAAACGGGACTCTCACTGTCATTTTTCCTGTTGTCAAACACTAAAGTGCTACAGAAGCTAAGAACTTTTGGCTCCAGAATTTCTCACGCCCTAAACATCTCAAAATGGGAGAGAGAACTACTCGGAGGCGAAAACTTCAAATCATGTTGCGTCATTGAAAGATCAATTCTTTGCTTTGCCTATGGGACAATTGCATCAAATCAACTTAATCTTATTTTCTATCCCTGGTAAGGGTTTTGAATTAAATTTAGACCATCACAGTCTGGAAAACAATAGATCCATGTACAACCCTAATTCACCAATTGGAAAAAGTTTATATAAGGTTGCAACCTTAAAATGTAGAATTAGGGATGCGCCCAATCCATCGGAAAATATTGCTTTAATGTTGAATACTTACTAATTGATCATCTCGACATCGAGATTAATGAATATGAAAAAAAAAAAAGATTTTAAGTATAAAAAATAGTGCATCTTGCAACACTTTATTTAGGCCTATTTTCAAGATGTTGAGATGTTTATAGATCTACTTGATTTTAATCATTTTTGGAGTTTACAATTTTATAATTAGATATGAAAATAGGTTTTCAAATAATCATAAGAATATTTTACATGAAAATTTTATGTTATGATAAAATTTGGAGGTGTGCCTTAATTGGATTGATTAAGGTCGCAACCTCATAAAAACCACACCTTTTATTTTTTGGTATAAAGACATCACAACCATTGTTGACCGTTAGATGTAAAATCACTCGACTTCGAATAAAGTCCGGAATAAACTTTTTCTAATATTGTGACACATTTCAATATGTTAGATTTCATGTTTGATTGCTAATAATGATTGTGACTTCTATGTATTAAAAGTGATGGTCATATAGTATACAATCTTATGAAAATAGAAAAAAATACAAAGAGACCATTTATTTATTAGCACAAGGAGGTTGTAACCATTGATGTCGGGTAGTTTTCAAATCGGTTGGTTATGAATATGTCATTAACTAGACTCAAAGTTCAAAAAAAATTTCATTGCAACTTCATAATACATCCTAAGGCATCCAATTTGACATCTAATAGTCATGAGTCATGACCTCCTTGTAATAAAGATAAATAATCTCATGGTATACAATCTTATAAAAATACCAAAACTAATTGTCATGTGTTAGCAGAAAAAAAAACAAAAGAACAAACAAATACAATAGGAAACAGGAGAAAAAACAAAAGATGGAACACACTAGACAGCCTTGGGTAGGGGGGAAAACCCTAAAGGGAACCTAATATGTACAAAAGAATTTTTTGTCTCCTAAAAACCTAAAACCTTGGAAACCTCACACTAGGATTCTCACAGGGTGAACCTTGATGCAATGTCTCATTGGAATTACCAAGTGAAAGCCCATGTTTTCAAGACAAAGTAAGATTGGATTCATGGTTTAAGGCCACATAAACTAGGTTTAAGACAGTCTACACAATGAAATGCAGAGTAGGTATGCACTATGATTTTGATCAAATCTAAACTCAAGAGGTGTATTTAAAATTGATCAGTTTTAAGGTATGGACTAAAAATACAAAACTACTGTAGAATCCGTGGACATTTCATGAAATGGATGTATTATGCATCCGCCCTAGTTTTAGTTTCCAAGGGTTTCAAGAGTCAAAACACATCTCAAATATGTGTAAATTCATTTTTGGCTTCAATGCCGCTGACACTTAAAGAATTGAAATGAATAATTCAAAAGGCGTTCAAGTGGGACCATTTCTAGTACTCAAAATTCCATTTTATATTCCAAGAACTTATATTTTGCCTTCAAATCCCAATTTTTAAATTTATTTTTATTTTCAAAATTCCCCATTTTGAACATCCACACTAGGGTCCTTTACTTTTGATTGAAAGACTGGTTCGGATGGTGGATGTCGAAACCATTTTTTTTTAACTAAACCAGTTTGGTGTGAGCTAGGTTTAGACATCATCTCCAAACCCAGAGCATATATTAAAAGAAGACTTAAAAAATGTCTGGACTCAGAATTTGGGGGTCCGACCCAGTGACAACATTGATTCGAACATCCAATTTCCAATAGGCCTTTTGATGAAAAAAAGAAAGCAAAAAAAATTCAGTCATTGGATGTCCGAACTTGAGGATCATTTTTGGCAATAAAAATACAGAAAAGTGAGACGTAAGCACAAAATAAAGCTATACGAGACTACCGGTTGCATAAAAGAAATCTATTTTTTTTTTGGTTCTAATTTGTAATTTTTTAGATTCATGACTGGTTTCACACCACTTTGATTAAAAATCTAGAAATGGTGATCAACTAGATCTATATACACTTGAAAATCTTGAAAATAGACGGTCCAGATAACGTGTTAGAAGATGATCTATTTTGGAACTAAAAATCCTTTTTTTTTTTTTCATGTCTATGAATCTCGAGCTCGAGATAATAATAGATTTGAGGGTTTTTCACCATGAAAACAACCTTCTCTAGAGCTCGAGATAATAGATTTGAGAGTTTTTCAGTATAAGAACGACCTTCTCTAGAGGGTTTTTCACCATACTCGTAGAGTCTAAGATGAACACCTTGGATGAAATTACTGACTATGTACCCCTTTTCCTTAATATGCAACATTGAGAGAGAGAGTAGGAATAAATGTAGGGCTTGGGAATTAACACTGATTCGGGTTTTGAAACACTGGGCCTCAATAAATCTAATCTACCAGTACGACACCCCCCATAAACACCATGTGGGCCATAGGAAATCCTCTATTTGGAGCATTTTTGGTAACTTCAATCTAAGGACAATGAGATGAGCCGGTAAAGTGAACTCATTATTATCAGCCGTCCATTCGCCTCTTCTCGTTCGATCTTGGCTGTCTGGCCTGAAATTATCTTCCTAATGATAAATATATGTGGGAAAATTGTTTCTTGCGAGCTGGACTACATTTCAACTATGCTGTCAAGAGGTATAAAATATCTATTTTAAAGATGGATGCAAATAGGTGATCCTTCTAAAAACAATTGAAACTAATGTTGCAAATGTTTTCTTAATAAAATTGTTATTTCTAATTATTCTCTCTCTCAGCCCCGTAGAGAGAGAGGAGTTAATGTTTATAGAAGTCTAGAGAGAGAGAGTTCATGTTAATGCAGTATTAAGGGAAGGATCTAGAGAGAAACCAATGGTAGTTACCAGTTAATGAGAGGAAGCTATAGAAATTGAGAGCAGTAGGAACTGAGAGAGAATGCAACATAGAGAGAGAAAGTTGGGGGAGAGAGAGAAGTGGAAGTTGAGGCTCTCAAATGCAGAGTTAGAGAGAGAAAGGAAGATATTGATGGGAAGACGATAAAGGAGTTCAGATGTGTTAGTACAGCTAGAGAGACAAAGTGGCAGGATCTGAGTGAGAGAGAGAGCACAGACACGAATACTTCCATATCCAGGGAATTATGGCCTCCCTATGCTAGTCAGCAGCCTGCATGTAATCTTTTAAAGTTTAAAGTTGATTCTCAGTGTTTAAAAAACTGTCTCGACTCGGGAATTGGCAGTAGCATCTCAAATCGCACAAAAAATCGGGAATCACCCGGTTCTAGAGAGAACCGGGCGAGTCTGTACAGTGACTCGCCGATTCATTGTACGGAATAGGCAAGTCCCGTGAAGAACACGGGCTGCACAGTATTCTTCACGGGACTCTTCAAAATTTCTCATTTTTTTATCATTTTTTTTGTTTTTTTTGGCTTGTGATCTAATATGCATGCTTTAAACAGCTTTATTCAGCTTTTTCACGGATTAAATGGTTGAGAAATTTTGTGTTTTTAGATCACGAAAGTTGCATTTTTAGGGTTTCCGCTTTTCCTTGTGTTTCATGCCAAATAGGGTATGAATCTGTCAAAAATTGTAGGATTTTGATCGTAAAGTTGTTCATCAAAACCTTTTGTTACGAATTTGTGATAATCGTTCAGAAAAACAGAGTTATTTGGAGATTGAACGCTCGGGTTCACATAACCAAGTATGAAGTTTGGGTTTTTTTTTTTTCCGTCATATGATTAATTTCACTACATATTTTGAAGATAATGAGTTCAATTTGTAGGGTTTTTAATCTTTATTGTGTCTATTATGATTTAACATATTCATTTTTATGTAATTTGGTCAATTACAGCATGAATTTTTAGATGAACACAGTGATGTCTGTGGAAAAATATTTCTGTTGTTTTTTTTCCGCCTTTTGATTTTTTGTTCATAATATATTACAAATAATGTGTTAGATTTCTAGCATTTTTAATCGTTGCAGTGTTGTTTATAATTAGATGTATTCAATTTGATCTGATTTATTCAATTTGAATTTCATTTTTTAGATTCAATGATTGTTGTCTGTGAAGAAAAGAACTGCGATGTATTCAATTTGATTTGATTTATTCAATTTGAATTTCATTTTTTAGAGTCAATGACTGTTGTCTGTGAAGAAAAGAACTGCGTTTGTTTTTTTGCTCAATTTAATCGATTTCATTTGATTTATTG